TATTTTATGTTGTTCTAACAATGCCAACTTTCTTTTCTAATTACTTTAAACTTTTTCTTTTCACTTTATTGTATATTATATTATTTACTTCAATTTTCAATTGTCTTTCTCTTTCTTTTTTTTTTCTTTTTTATAATAATAATAATAATAATAATAATAATAATAATAATAATAATAATAATAATAATAATAATAATAAAATGAGAAAAATTTTAGTACAACTTTTTCAATTGAAATTTAATCGATGTAAAACAGAAGCAAAATGTGATCAATATTTTTCTTCTTTTTTCTATGCTCCTCCTAAAATATTGCAAATTAATAAAAATATCATAAAACAAATAAATCAAATTAGACTCGCATATTTCAACTTTTCCTCCTTTAACAAAATTGAAAAGAGATAAATGATACTTAACTTAAATGCAAAATCACCAACAACATAGAAAATAATCGTGAAAAACTAAAGTAAAACATGGGTAAAAATGATAAACATCAGATAAGGAGAATATATCATAAATACATAGGATACAACACATAATAAATGCAACAAATATTCACAAAATAGGAAGAGAAATAGTGTTTTTTTTTTAAAACCTCCTTAGAAAATAAATTGCATTTAATATTAAAAAGGTAAATAAATTGTATTTAGTAAATAGATTAAGTTTATAGTTAAATGAATAAATATATACTATTTTCTATTTTAGTTAATTAGGTGTAAATTGTCTATATCTTACTTGAGTTTAAGTTTATTACCATCTTTCTTCTTAGAATATTCTGTTGTGGATATTATTAGAATTTTGAGTCACAAATATTACAATTTAAGAGTTATTGTTATTGTTTAAGTAGTTAAGACTTAAACCGGTCGAAGTAATATTGAATAAATCTGTGGTTAAAAGTATAAATGTTATGAAAGGTAAAATTAATGTGTAGATACCATAAGTTAATATCTGATTTAATGAGGCGTCAAATTAGAATATTAAAACTAAAAAATAATCCTAGAGTTATTTATATGGGTTATGGTCCCTATTTGTAGAGTAGGCACAAAAACACAATTTATTGGAATTCTCTCTTCATCCTCATCAAAAGAGATTCAATAATCTCTAAGGAACTCTAAAAATTGAAACATCACATACCCGTGAACTTGAGGAAATCCCAATGACAAACACATGTAAGTTGTTACTTTCATTCTCTGATTGAACTCTAGTATGGATTTAAGGGATATGAGTTGATGCGTTATCTACTCACATGGATTAGTTTATAGTTTTGTTCTTGATTTCTATATGAGTAGAAATCATAAGGTTATGAATAGGTCCAACAAGTAGTATCAGAGGCACCCGTATTTTATTCAATTTGAATTTTGAGATTTTTGAAGTTAGGGATCCAAAATTGGTATCAATTTACCTAGCCTTGCAACCTACCATATATTGCACTTTACAACAAACTAGCAAAACTGGATGGAGAAATTCACCAAAATTATACTTTGGGCAGGGATCGGGGAAGTACCCTCCACCTCCTGGATTTCATGACTCGGGTCATATCATTTAACTTTTATATTTAATATATTATATAATATATAACTCTACAATTTTGCATGTTTTTTTAAATAATTAATGTTTTAGGAAAAAAAGAGTTATTAGTGGATAATTTTATTTTTTGTTTCATTGTTTAATGTATTGTTTCACTACCCAAGTCTCAACCATAAAAAAACTGCACTCATTACATATATTGTACACACCGTCTCTTCATCTTTTTCTCTCAATTCTCTTTGTCTTCTTCTTTTCTCATTTTCTCTGTTCTCATCATCATCATCATAACAACCACTCTCACTTATTCATTGTGCTTATTATACTTCAATTAGTACTTATTTTTCATTCAATTAGTAAACTAGTTGTCATGTTATCGTAAATGAAAGTGCTTTTACATTTTTTTGTTATTGATTCAAGATGCGTTTTTTTAACAAAAAGGAAGATGATAAATATATGTTTTTAAATATGTAATAATAATAACGAAATACTATTATCATGGTTTTGGTCGAAAAAATATAGAATTTTTTTTTTATACTCGATCTTTGTGGATCTTTGATTCTCTGTGGGGATCTATGGGGATGGGGATAGGGAAAGTATTTCCTCGTGGTGGAGATTAGGGACGGGGATGGGAAAAAAATTTAGGGGAGGGTGGGGCGTGGAATGAGGAAGCATCCTTTGCAGATTCTCTGCCCTGTTGACATCCATAGTTAGGATACAACTAGTTTTAAGGAAAGATTTGAAAAGGAAAAAAATGAGAGCAACTGAAAAAAGAGGAATTCTTAATCCAGTTGAAAGTATAAGTATTGTCGAACATGTTCGACGCATGGTAACTAATATCACCTGATGAGAAAGGAATCATTTGCCTGCCACGCGTTGTAAGTTATTTCCTTCACCGGTGTTGTGGAGGAGGAAGAGGTGTACCTGCAAGGTGCTCCGATGCTTAAGTGAGTAATAGAGTTTAGAAAAAGAAAGTACAAAGAAAAGGTGTAGTAAATGAGATACCTGACCCTCTAGTGAAAGAGGGTATTTATAGTGTGCCTCCAGCACAAGGCAAACGATTATAGTGCATTGGGCCAGAGTGTCGGGCCCAACATAAGTAATTTCCAGGGCTTATGTGGCATAGTGAAAACCAACACGTAGTCTTCTTCCTGGATTAACTGTCTATGATCTTCGGAAGGTGGCCTGACCAACTCTTTTGGAAGTGAGTAGTTGCCTGATGATGTGTCCCCGCATGGGAGGCACGTGGAGTCCGTGTGGAAAGCGCGTAGGCTCTTGCCGTGCAAGATAATGCTCTGCCCGACTAGCGTGCCTTGTTAAGGCTTGTGCCTGGCAGATAGGGGACTGGGCCTTGTCGGGCCTTCCCGACTGAGGGGCAGGTCTCGGCCCAGTCCAAAATAGGAGCCCCCTAAGTCGTTGCTCCTAGGTGGAGAAGTAATGACTTAAGGGCAAGTTGAAAGTGTCGAGGACCTCCTCAGGGGATAGCATCTTGTCCGACATTTATAATTTAGAAGCCACGTACCAGGTCAGGAACAGAGTATGCTCTTCGAGAAAATATGTCAGAAAGGTGGACGTGCTCAGTTTCCGAGATCCGAAAGGAAGATGAATGGGTGCAAGGTCTTCTATAGTCGCCACGTGTTAGGCAATAATTGCTCTAACTATGAATGGGTGCAAGGTTTTCACATTCTGCACCGCGACGTCCACTGTCTTCCGCCATACCGTCTGCCACGTCAACTTTCCAAATCCATTTGGTTGTCTTGATTTTTCTGGGGTATATTTCCCGAATTTTGATGAATTTTGTTAATGGTGGTATCTTCGTCGAAAACTATCCCTTGGTTCTCTATCATATACTCCCTTGGTGGTTGTCGAGGGGGATTTGGTACACCAAAGAATTCTACAAGGCGCGTCATTTGTGTTGCTAATTGTTGATTAGTTTGGGTAGTATTATGAATAAGAGGCTGAAAGATTTCCCCCATAGTTTGGGACATCATTTAGACCATTTGAAGGTTACTCTCGTCCATTTGTTGTCGTAAGGATGATGCAGAACTGGTTTGTCAAATTTGGCATTTGGGCGAAATATCCTAATCCTAAAGTTTGACTATTTCGACCCATATTTACTCCAGAGCCTGATCCATATAATGGAGAAGTCATTGCGGGTTCTGTATATAATTGAGGGGCGTTTTGTAAGTTTTTCCATCATCGAAGTTGGCATTCCATAGGGTGGGTCTCGAGACAGGGGTATTGTAAATCCAGAAGGAAGGACGCTTTTGAATGTTGAAGCCCACATTGGTGGTGAAATCTGTGGAGGACCCATTGGCCCAATATAAGTCAAAATGGGTTGTGTATGGGTCATTGAATGTGTAGGTATTGAACTTCCCATAGATGGTATTGCTTCAGAGACAGGCGCTGAAACTGTCGGTCCTCCTGTCGAAGATCATATGGGTGGCTCTACATTGTTACTAGGCGTATCCTGAGGAATATTTGGCTGGTTAGAGTTTGCCGTCATTCTCCTCCTATATCTTCTCCTTGTTCTATCTTCATTAGCGGTGGCTACTTTACCACTTCTTAATAGCATGAAACAAAGTTTTCAAATAGTAAGTTGACCGCCGAACTAATGAATTTTCAAGAATTTCGAAGAAAATTTTATGATCACTTAGCACTCTCCCACTAGGCGTGCCAATTTATTCGGCGTTAAAGTTGGTGAACAATTGCTGGTATTCCAAATTGAAAACTTCTTAATAGAATTTCGAAGAAAGTTGGTGATAATTTGACTGTTGAGGCATTGTCAGTACGAGTTGATAAACGAGAAGTGAAGCAACTGCGAGGTAAAGAGATTTCCTTGGTAAAGATAGTTTTGGAAGGACCAACTGGGGAAAGTTGGGCTTGGGAGCGTGAGGATCAGATGAGGGAGTCGTATCCGACTCTGTTTCCTTTAGATAATTTTCGAGGGAAAAAATTCTTTTAAGTGAGGAAGAGTTGTAACACCCCAAATTTATTGGAATATTTATTTAATTTATTTAAATAGAAATAATCGTATTTTTGGTGATCTGCGGTGATTGGTATGAAGTATTGAGAATTATGAATTTTGGGTTTTATTAAATAATAGTATATAATATAAATATATTGGTATTATTATTAATTTAAATAAATATAAGTGAATTAAGGGTAAAACGAACATTTGAGGAGGAGTTAGTGAGGGTGAAATTGGAAAGCCCATTTTAAAGCTCAAAAGTTAGGTTTAATAAAAGGAAATATTAAGGAAATTAGGATTCATTCGCGTTAGACCGCCAAAAGAGAAGAAATAAAAACTAAAGTTGTTAGGGAAGAGGATTGAGGCAAATCTTCGCGAAATTTTCAAGAATAAAAAAGAAAGGTTTAGAGTCGGCAAATTAAGGTAGAAAGAGTATTACCTTTATTATTTTGTTTTTGAGGTTGAGGAAATTAGCCTTTGTGGCCAAATCTTTTCATTGTTGTTTAGTCATGGCTTCAAAGCCAGAACAAGAACAAAAGCTACACTTGACATTCTTGATGGACACAGAAAAAAACAGTGTAGTTGTGGCTGAAGCAAACGGCGACTTCGTTGACACTTTGTTTAGTTTTCTCACACTTCCATTTGGAACTATCACCAGACTTGTCTTCAAGAATCGACCAGAGCAAGAAACATTTGGTTGCATAGGTAATCTATACAAGAGTGTGGAAAATATAAGTGATGAGGTTTTCTTAAACAGTATCTGCAAAAAAATGTTGCTTTATCCCCGCAACAATTCTGAGTCTTATTGCCAGAAACTGAAGTTGAATGTGGATGACTCAGAACCTACAAAGTACTTCATTTGTAGCACTTGTGTAGAAACGGGTCGGTTGAGTACTTTTGTTGGTGCTAGACGTTGTTGTTGTGGGAATTTGATGGACAAAGAAATTAAGCTGCATAGAGAATTTGGTAATAGCGATTGTGTTTTTGTTAAGAAAGAATGTCTGTATTTAATTTTTGATGATTTAAAAGTGATGCAAAGCTTTCCCGGCAACACACTTCACCAGCTCCAACAACTTGGTTACAAAAACATGAACAAGCTTACACACATGTCCGCGACCTTCGGTTTGAATGAGGTAATATTTCGTTTTAAATTTTACTGCAATTCATTTTTTAGATCCAAGTTTGTTAATGAAATCTGGTGGATTTATACTTTTTGATTCAGTTTCTTTATACTTTTTGATTTGGTTTTAGATTTTGGAGTTACTCAGGAAAGCATTAACTTCCAAGTCTCCTCTCAGCGATGTATTCTTGCGAAATGGAAATTTTTCATATAAGTGCACTTTCTCCTCAAGGACTCTAATTTCTAATCTTCCTACTACTAGGATTATGGATCTTAAGGTAACTATAAGTAAATCAAAGAAGAAAATAGTGTATGCTGAAGCTGAGAGAGATTTTGTAAATTTTTTATTCAGTTTCCTCACAGCACCTATAGGATCTATTGTAGTGCAATTGAATGGCATTTGTTTTATCGGATGTATGAATAACTTGCACAAAAGTGTGACAGAACTCGACTGTTCATGTTTTGTAATGGCATTGCCTATACGAAATCCCAAAGTGGCTCCTCAATTTGGTTATTTGAAGCAACCTCTGAAATATCTTTGTGAAGAAAAAACTCCTAATTATTGGTACGATAATGGTGAGGTTGCAAAGGATAAATGTATAAGCTATTTGTCAAAGCCATTAAAGCTTTTTGATCCAAGATCTCCATATGAAAAAATTGAATCTGCTGTGGGATTTGTGAAGGCATCAAAATTTGTTGTGTTGGATAATCTGCAAGTGACAGCATTGGATAATAATACTTCTTGCATTGCATTTTTGCAAAAACTCAACATTCCAATCGATGATTTGGAGGAGCATCAAGTTGGAATTGGAGAGAAAGAGGTAAACATGAATCCACTCTTTATCATTGACACATTCAAATATACTAGTACTTTCTATTAGATGTAATGAGTTTCATTATCTTTATATTCTTAGGCACTATACTTGTTGGAAGCTTCTTTGACTTCTACCGAAGCTGTATTAACAGAAGCCTTATTCCATCTGATCGAGAAGACGAAAGAAGAAACTAACTGATGCATCAATGTTTTTATCTCTATTGAACTATGAAAAATAGGTAGTTCGAACTTTGAAATGTGTGGCAACTACGTTACACATTTTAGTGATTCTGATATGATTATGAAACTTTTTTTTTAAATTCTATTTGTAAGGGGATTGTATTGAACCTCTTTACATAAGTTAAGTCAGTTATTGTACCTTGCTATTTAAGTTAGTTTTTAGTCATACAATGGACTTATAATGGTTTAGCCTGCAAACTATATTATATAAAGGGATCGTATTCTTAGAGTTAGTGCTTCAAAAACATATAGAATACTGTCTTCCTCAAAGTAGCAAGATAAATTTCATAAAAGTAAGAGATTAAGGAGTGGAAATTTGACACAGAATATTTTGGTGAAAAATCCTTAACAAATAAGGGAAAAATCACAGATACTAGTAAAAAATATTTTGACTAAGTGGAAGAAATTAAACATTTTTCTCTATAAAAGGAGAGAACAATTTACTTGTAATAGGAGAACACTCACTAAAAAAATTTTATAGGAGAAAATACAATATATTTTATGTTTAAATTTTTCTTTTATGTTATGTTGCATTGTTTTACGTTGTTGTATTTAGAATGAGAGATGCACCTCTATCTAAGCAGATACATAATGAAGAAAAACATAATAAAAACTATTTAAACAAAATACATAATGACGAAAAACATAATGAAAACTGGATTAGGTCCAATAGTTGGATGGATATGGATTTAAAAACTAAGAAAACTCATTAAAAAATTGAGTTTCAAGTAAAACCAAACCCAAATTAAAAAAATCTATTGACTCTAATTAAACATTTCTTATTACAAGTCTAATGATTTTGATGAAAACTAATCTAGTTGTTGCAATTGTAGTCTCTTTAACATTTTTTATTTTTGGGAACCATGATTTTAACTAATTTTAGATTTTTCACGATTTGATTATTTTGATGTTAATACAATGTTATGTCATGCACCTTTAGTTTGTTACTAATATTTTATAATAATTTTTATGAGTTAATGTTATTATTTATTATTTTATGATACTAAAACATAGTGAAATTAAACTATCTAATTTTTTATATATAAAAGTGTTGAATAACTTTTATGAAAAAAATATGATGACTCGTCATTTAGTCATTTAATATTAAGAAAATATAAAAATCATTTGGAAAATTCACTATCCAACCCAACCTAATCAAAAAATTAGTGGATTGTCCAAACTGGCCAATTAATGCAGCGGTTGGCTATTTTACCTAGCCGAAACCGGAGTGTCCTATATGGATGAGGTATTAAATTTGACCAAATCCAATCCAAGATGGTCCATGTACACCCATATAGAGAAGCAATCGTGTCATCTGATACTCTAGTATTCATTGGAAAAAAACACAATTATTTAACCTACCAGATTTTTCAAAAAATTCAATAACTCTGGGAATATTTTTGAATTTTAAAAAATGATAAAACTGCATACATTTTCTGGATTTTTTTAAAAATTCAATAAACACCAAACTTGTTCCTAGATTATACAAAAAAATCAGTAAAAATGTATGTACTTTACTGGTTATTTAAATAATTTGGTATAATGCATATATTTTTCTGGATTTTCAAAAAAATCGGAAAAACATATTCATTTTTATTAGGTTTTTTGAAAATCTGGTAAAAATGCATACAAAATATGTGTTATTTCAAATATTTCAAAAAATATGATAAAAATGAATTAAAAAAAACCCGGTATAAACTAAAAATTATGGTAAAAACTGATACTCACTGCTCATAAATTGGAAATGTCTGGTAGTCTATTTAAAAAATCTGGTAATCACCAGAGGTTTTGAAAAAAATTCGAAATGGTTTAATGCATTTGTGGAATGAGTTTTAAAATTTTACAGGGTTAAAATGGTAAATGCATAAGGGGTGTGGGGTTGCCACATCAAACAAGGGGGCATCAAGATAAAATCTCATCTTTTAGGTATATCATTTGTTCTGAAATTAGCTCTTTCCTTTTCTCTCGACTTTACAACACTTTTTTCTAATGATTTACTTTTGTATGCTTTGACATTTGATTATTTCTTTTTCTTTGTCTTTTTGCTGAAGCATTGTTCTTTTCTTTCTTCTCATCATTTTACTACTTGTTTTTTCAAAACTTTTTAATTTTTCTCCCCAACTTTATTTTTCTTCACACCCTTGCATTTTTAGTTACTCTCCTATCCTTAAAACAGGCTAATAAAAGTTTATGTCTATTTTTAGAGTTGGCTAAGGGTTGTAATATTGAAAGAACAAAATTTTTCATTTTCAAGCTCAAATGGGGTTGTCAAGGGATCGCACCCTTACAAGGTATCCTTTTTGGACAAATAGTTTTTCACTTAATAAGAAAAAATTCCTTAATCATATCCATGACTTCAAATATACCACGTAATGGCACGAATGATGCAAAATCCACATAGTTAGTATGCATGTTCGTTCTCGTTATTTCTGTAAAACATGAGGTTGCACATATCTCACTTGGTTAGGCTTGTATGCTTCTTGACTTTATTGACATGTTTGCAAAAGACAATAGACAAATCAAACCTTTAGAAAGCAGTTAGTTAATGGACATTACCATAATTCATAGATAATCACATATGAATTATGAATGAAAAATTAAAAAAAAAACATTTATCATGCAATTGTTTCTGAATTTCGTCATCGACTTAGCCTCTGTGTTCATTTGCATTTGGCTTTTCAGGCCAATTGAACCATCTATAGAAAAACAGTTTTCCAAAATTGAAATTTTCTAAATTTTTCAAAAAAAAAAATCAATGAAAATAATTTAAACATCACAGGTACTAGGTAGGTTTTAGATTTGATAAAAAAAATATGTAATATGACAACTACATCTAACCCCAATAAAATAGAAAATTAGTTACTCTTACTCATTGTAGCATTATAATCAACCTTAGAAGAAAGATGTGTAAATGCATTTATGGACACTTTCGTAGACACTGCTTCTACCCTCGATCTTCCTCTCATATTCTTTCTTATTGTTATTCATCGTAAGAACCTAGATTCTTTAAGTAACCACCTTGAATTTCGCCGAATGTGATCAAATTCTTTGAATTTATTTGAGTTGAATTGATTGAGTATCTCAAACAAAGGCATTACGCCTCTATTTATATTCTTGGGAAAGGTATGCTTGCTAAGCGCACCGTCCAGGCTTGCTTAGCTCGTCTTTTCTTCTTGATTAAGTTATGCCAGTTACTCTAAGCATAGCCTTTCCACCAACGCTCTCTAAGCGAACCTTCCAAGCATGCTTATCCACCAAACCCTTGCTTCACTTTGAAGTAACTTAACCCTAAACTCTTTGAACCATCATTGATTGCAAAATGTGTCAGTGTTTCCTAGATTAGCTAGGTTACACATTTGCTTGCTAAGCACACATGTATTCTTGGCTTAGAGAGACTTAATTTGTTAGGGAAAAGTCTTGGTTTGCTCTTTTCTGCTATTTTGGTTCATTTCTTAATTTTTTTTCCTGTATCTCATAAACGCATAGTTAAAATATTTAAATAGACGTTTTATCACCTTTAACTGATTAATCAAGAGTTTTTCTTAGAGTATATATGAAGGGTTGTATGACCCAAGTTTTGAGTTTCCTCACTGAACTGGTAACCAATGTCGTGATGACATGATATGACTTGTACCATGGAAGTTAAGAAGTTAGGTGAATAAGTAGAATTAACCCGTGTTGGTTTAAGCTAGAGATGATAGTTCAAAATTATGGTTGTATCAAGAAAAATTACACTAGAGGTCCTTTAAGTTATTTTTTTGTAACAGGTTGGTCCTTTATGTTTTTTTTTAACAACTTTGTTCTTTAGGGTGATTTCTATATCATTTTCTCACTTTTTAAACATTTAAAAATGTGTGCCCGGGTTGTATTTCTGGTTCCACTTCATCATTTTTATACCACTCAAAATAATTGGATCCATAATTAACACTTTCACTTATTAACAAAAGGGTAACGATGCACACATTTGGTATTTTAAAGAACCAAGTTGTTAAAAAAAAACTTAAAAAGCAAACATGTTACTCAAAAATAACTAACACCTATAAAAATATATTAAACACCTGTAAAAATATTCAACACATTAACATCTTAAATCCAAAATAAACTACAAATTCTACAATTGTGCCAAACGTTAAAATTGTGATAAATTCTACACTACAACATCTCATAATTCTACCATACATATTTATCAAATTTCTACAACACTATTGCGTTATAAATTCATTCTAGTTCTTTTTTCACGCTTCCTTGGTTTCTTCCTCATTCTTCTAGCAATGTTAGATTTAGACTTTGATAGGTTTTCTTCAACAATGGCATCATCATCATTAAGTGGAGTGTTATGTCCAACATCTCCAGCTGAAGTTTCTACTGCATCTTTAGTGACAAAGTTAATAAGCTGTCAATCATCTTGAACATCCTCATCCTGAAACAAAGTGTTAACTCTTGCCTCTTTCATCATCCTCACTTCCTACTCAAGAGCTGCTATCCTCTCCTTGAAATCTTTATTGTCATCCACCAATCTTTGATAATCATACACATTCCCAAATTATTGTCCTTGTTCAAACAAAGCAGCATTGACTATGTCATAATTCAGTTCCTTCTCTGTTGTAACCACTCTATCAATTTTCTAACAAAAAAAACAATCAATTCAAACACACGACAACATAAAAGCTATTTTCCTCAAATCGAACACATAAAATCTTACCATATTTTTGTCAAACGCTTTTTCAATGTTTTTCTTCTGCATAGTTATAATTGGCCAATTCAATACACGTGGAAACGAAAACGTAGTAACAGCAGGTACTTTCCCCAAAGATAAGTGGTTGAATGTCCAAATCTATAACAAATATTACAAGATGTAAACTTCAAAACTTTTAATATTCAAAACACATGATGAAACTATAAAGTTATATATGGAGATTTACCTGCAATATGGCAGCGCACCCGTTTAAATGTCTTTGTGCCTTGTTTTTTTCCCTCCTTCAACATAACTGAAGAGTCACATAAACTAGAAACTATAAAGTTATAAACAACAAGTCCCCAACTAAATGTATCAAGTGAGTCAAGATCATCCAATTGCTTAATAAATCCGGTAAAGACCTTATTCCCTGTTTTGGGAAAGTAAAACTCCGCAAATGCAAGTAATATGTAAAGTCTAACAAAATTAACTAATTTTATCTTTTGGTAATGAAGTTGTTTGCGAATATTGTGAATGGTTACCTCAACCCCTTTAAAAAGATCTAATGTTTGACTTTGTTGGTTTTCTTCTACTACTAGAGACTTACCAACATTAGATAATCCAAGCGCAAAACAAACATCAACTGGAGTAAAGGGAAGTATCCTATCCCTAACCCTAAATCTCCTACTTCGTACGTCCCACCTACTTACTAATTCTCATAATAAACCACCTGAGATTGAGAAGTTGTTAGAAATATTCATTGCCCATTTGAATGGGATGCATTCGATGTGGCCTCGTTGACCTGGTGTTAACTTTTCATTGATGATGCTCAAATTCACTAGAATACAACTATGCCTCATTCGTACCTTAAATTCACAAAAAAACTTAAATACTTTCACTCATAAATAAGATCAAACATTCCAACCAGAATAACAAGACCAATAAAAACAGAAAAACTTACATCACTTTCATTTAGATTTCTTGGTGATGCCATAGTTTCAGCAATAAAGAACTCAGCCTGATAAAATTCAAAACCAAATAACCACCTTATCAGTAACATAACAAGAAATCTATTACAACCTATAATTGAGAAATCTATTACAATAAACTAAAAAGAAAAAAAATCCTAAACCTAAATCCTCTTTCAGTTTACCTCATTGAACAACAGAACTCTCAGAACCTTAAAAAAATTAAGATAGTGTTGTTCATGTAAGAAGAATATCAGAACATGTTTTAAAAAATCAGAACTTTTTCAACAATCAGAACTTTTTCATGGAAGCATTCTTGTAAGAAGAACATCTAACCTTAAGAGCTCACGATGTGTCGCGGTGTGTCATGGTGGTCGTCGATTCGTCGCGGTGTGTCACGGTGGTCGCTGATTCCAAAAAAGCTCACGATGAAATGAGAGAGATCACGATGAACTGAGAGAGATTTTCTTCTTCTTTTGAGAGGAGAGGTATCAGATTCAATGTGAAAGGCAAAAATACATTCAATATCATTTAACCTATCAATATTCATAAAGTTACTAAATTACCCTTGTATATTAAATAAATTACAACAAAATCAAAATCAGTACATTAGAAACTGTAATACGGTGTAGGTGTATACTTTAAATGTCAAGATATCATTTCTGTATGATAAAAATATAGGAGAGAAAATGTGAGGTGTCAAATAAAATTTTAGGTGGCAGGAAGAAATCTAAAAAATAAAAATAAAAAGGATATGACAAAAATTCTCACAAACTTTAAAAAGTTCTAATATAAAAAATTCTCACAAACTTTAAAAAACTATAATATAAAAAATTCTCATATACATTTTGTGCCTCTTTGTCAAATTTCTCAATTTGAAAGAAGAGCCAAAAATAACCTACAATGGCTTCCGATCAACCTCAACCGCAACCACTAGAAGAACCCAAAACGATTCCCCTCAAAATCCTAATAGACAAAGAAAACAACAAAGTTGTTGCCGTCGAAGCACCCAAACACTTCATCGACACTCTCTTCAGTTTCCTATCTCTTCCACTTGCCACCATCATTCGTCTCTTATCAACCAACAACAACGATCAACAACAACAACAACCATCATCAGAATCATCACCATTTCTCGGAAGCATCAAAAGTCTCTACGAAAGTGTTCAAAGCCTCACTCCAAACGACGTTTGGAACCCTGTATGCAAACAAATGCTATTGAACCCCAGGAATCCATGTGAATTGTTATGCAAGAAACTGTTCTTGAATATTGATGATACTGAAGCATCAAGTGAGTTTTTTGTGTGTGATACTTGTAACATGTTTACAACTTTTCAGAACCTTGATTGTACTTGTGGAAAACCTACTAATAGAAGGCCTAAGAATTTGGATTCTGAAGGTCTAGGGAATAGTACTAGTGTTGCTGTTGATGATGCTTTAAGTGGGGTTTTTGTGAAGGAAAATGGGTCGTTGTTTTTGGTGTTTGATGATTTGAAGATTGTGCCTAGTTCTTTGGTGACTTCCATGCAGATGTTGATGGAATTGGGGTATTCGGATTTGAGTCAATTAGAGGAAGTTACACAAAACATTGGAAAACAAGAGGTAATCGTTTTGTAGTGTGTTATAAATAATGTTTTATTTTTTTCTATGTGTATATGTATTGTACTTCAAGGTGTTATGTTAGTTTGTAGAGTAAGAAAAATGGGAATCATTGTTCTAAATCATGGTTGAGATTGTGGTTATGTTGTGAATCTTAATATTGCCGTGAAATGCGGTTGCAATGTCATGGGGAGACCTCTAATGTTTTTATAATGCAACCGCAATTTAGAACCATGCTCTAAATGGTCAGTTATTTTAGTCTGGCTTGGTGAGTACTTAGCATCAACATTTTAGTCTAGGGTTAGTTAGAACCTAGTGTTATTAACTATGAATATCATAATGCTACTCAAATAGTAATGACTAAGGGTGGCAAACGGGCCTGACCGCTCCGCAGAAAAACGGAGATGTTTCTCATATGACTGAAAGTGCAGGTAAAACGGACATGTCCAGCGTGTTGGGCTTATTTTGCCACCCCTACTAATGACTGAAACAAAATGACTGATGGATTATGGTTTCGAGATTTTTTCTGAAATTTTCTTGTTTTACAGGCTATTTTAAGAATGTCCTATAATTTCAAGTGCTGAATTAGTGATTCACTCTTTTAATTTTTTGAGCTTGCGTTGGATCTTTAGAACCTCAACCCTATAACTTGTTGTTTTTAGGGTAGTTTTGTATTTGGCATAGTATCTGTTAAGAACCTGTTAAGAATGTCTATGTGAGAAACAATAGAAAGGAAAATAAGGAGTGTGGGGCACTTCCTTCAGTAATTTAGTTATCTGAGAAATATTGAATTAAGCAGCTTGTACCTTGGCTTCAATCATGCTTCCACATAAAGTTTCTTAATATTGTGTAAATGGAAAGTAGCTCTATTATGTAAATGGAACTTGTTTGCATAATATCGGTTTTGTTTGTTTGTAAGTTATCTCGACTAAAAACTTGTCTTTTTATGTATAGATATTGAACATCCTCAAGTATGCCTTAACCTCTCAAGAGCCTCTGACAAAAACAATTTTGAAAAGTAGCTCCAAGAACAAAGCTCACCCGCCAAGCCAGTTTGCTTCAGCAGTCAAAGTAAAAACTTGCACCAGTGACATTAAAATGGATGTTAAGCTAGTGCGAAGTAAATCTCAGAAAAAGATAATCTTTGCAGAAACCGGCGAAAACTTTGTGGACTTCATTTTTAGCTTTCTTACAATACCATTAGGGTCCATCGTAAAGCTTTTGGATGGTAACTCTTTTGTTGGATGTATTGATAATTTATACAAAAGTGTGGAGAACTTGGACTCGTCCTGGTGTACAGGCTCGCGCTCTGTGTTACTCAATCCTGGTGTCATACCGCAGTTTGGTTGTCCAAACCAGCCCCTCAACATTCCTCATGTACAACCACCACTAGCTACGTATTATTATGGTACCGGAACACCAAAGCTGTATAACAATAATTATGGTCATCGTATAGTAGAAGTAAAGGTAGAGGGAGGAGTGATTTCTAAGACAAAGGGATTGATTTATAATCCAATACACTTGATTGAACTGGATCCAAGATCCCCCAACAAATCAAAAGAAGGTGTTGTGGGATTTATGAAGAGACCAGCATTATATGGTGTAGGAGATGATTTAAAAGTGCAATCACTATCTGCAAATTTTTGTCTCTCATATTTGAAAGAACTGAACCTTCCCCTTGATGATCTTGAAGTGAAAGTGATAAGTATTGGTGAAGTTGAGGTAAAGTGGCTATGACTAATCCCAAGTGTTACAAGCACAAACTCTGACACAGAGACACCAGGACACGATACGACACTGAAATTTCGACACCGATAGTGTCAAACACAAAACGCAGGTGTCGTAAAAATGAAGACATTTGTCTGACTTTTCTGACACTTGTTTGACTTTTTCAACAGGTGTCGTAAAAGTGTTATACAAGTATCAGATGATGCGTGTCGGTTACCGCGACACGTCTAAGTGTCCTTCCATGCTTCATTGGTCACTATATAGTCACAACAACTCACATTTAAGAACCAAAGTAGTTATTTACTCTTTTCTTTTGTTATATTTGTTGTTGATACCTTCCTTTGTTGTTTGCACTTGCAGGCTATTAGTCTCTTTGCAGCTTCCTTGACATCAAAATCCACTCTGACTAGTGGACTTGAAGACTTTTTGAATGTGCCAAAACAAGATTCAAATTTGACTTCAAAATATATACAAACAACTAGTAGGCTTGATGAACTTGCAAAGGAGCCTAAACCAGAAGACTGAATTATCATTCAGTTGCAGTTTCAACCTTTGTTTTGAACAATAGATAGAAGATTTTGGACCTTAGTCATATCAGTAGTTTATGGTTTCCAATTACATATTACTACTAACTTGTTTTTTGGTGTTTAAAAGAATTTTTTTTGATATATTTTAACAGATTTAAACATGAATAAGGTGGATTGAAAAATTCTCATAATATAATCATCAAGTTTGCAGTTTAATCTTCTCAATAAAATAAAATAAAAAAATCAGTTTAAAGACATTGAAGAACTTGATTAACGGTTAGAAACAGGGCCTGGTTCACCTTATCAAGCCCACTTATATTTGGGGAAATTAGTTTTCATACCATCCTAATTGGACCTATACCCCCAAAATACAAACTACCCAAAACACCTTTTATATTTTTCTCTAAATACTAATTAATTATCATCTAAGAAATCAAAACTTTTTGAAATGGATAGTAATGTATAGCTTGATAACTTAGGCATAAATCAACCAAACATTCAAGTTTGAGAAAGTTTTGTGAAAATCAAATGGCAAACACTCAAGTTAGAGAAAGAATCGTGAAATTCAAATGGCTAGAAAGTGTTTTGAAAATTTTCCCACTAAAACCCTTCTAGTATTTGGATCAAACTTTGGTGTTGACAAGGGTAGTTTCTTGGTTCGACGAGAGTTGTGTATGCAGTAGTCGAAGTTTGTTCAAACATGTTGAAATATGCTTTGTTTTAAAGCATGTAGAATTTGGTCTTTCTTGTAAGTCCAATTGTTAAGTTAGCTTGTAGCCTAAGTTAGATTAGTAGTCTATAAATAGACTAGTTCTTTCAGGTTGTTCAGAGATGTTAATTGTTGTTATTCTCTAGTAAAACAGTTTTAACCAATTTTTGTTATTCCTTCTTCTCTCTTTTGTAAACCTAAATAGGGTTTCTTGTGTTTGTACAAGAAACTCAATCTTTATCTCATAATTTTGTTCTGTTATACACGACATTCTTTCTCAACAAATTGGTGCGGTGAGCGTGGAGAAGAAGATGTCGTCAACAAAGTATGAGATCAAGAAATTCATCAGTGTGAATGATTTCGGTTTGTGGCACTTGAAGATGCAAGACCTACTAGTTCAATAGGGTTTTTTAGAAGCGTTAAAAGGATCAGAGAAGATGGACGCTGCTCTAACGGATAAGGAGAAGACGATGATGATCGAGAAAGCCCACAGTGCCATCATATTGAGCCTTGGTGATAAGGTTCTCCGGCAGGTTTCAAAAGAGAAAACAAAAGAGAGTGTGTGGATGAAACTCGAAGGTCTGTACATGACAAAATCATTAGTTAACCGTCTCTACTTGAAGCAAGCTTTGTATTCGTTCAAGATGAATGAAGACAAAGCCTTGGCTGAGCAGTTAGATATGTTCCACGAGTTAATTCTTGATCTTGAAAATATTAAGGTCAAAATTGATATGAAGATCAAGTGTTATTGTTGTTGTGTGCTTTACCTAAGTCTTTGCTCACTTCAAAGAAACTCTCTTGTATGAAAGAGGTTCATTTACCTTTGAAGAAGTTCAATCAACCTTGTACTCTAAGTACCTAAATGAAAGAAATGAGCATAAATTATCTTCTGTTGGCGAATGTTTGTCCTTTAAAGGGAAATTCTTGAAGAGATATGGTATGTTTGCAAGAAGGTCACGAGGTTGAGGATCTACAATAGTCTTGAATTTTGCAATGTCGTTTTCGACAACTATTATGTTGCGTCTGGTATTACAAGGCACATACCTACTGCATGTACTCCCTAACAAAATTCTGGAAAGGGTGAGGTGCATGTTGGTAAGTGCAGGATTGAAGAAGGTGTTTTGGGCATAAGGTGTTGTGACTGTAACATACCTGATAAATTGGTGTCCCTCGACAACCTTGGGAATGAAGACACCTAAATAAGTCTGATTGGTACATCCACCTAGTCTCGACATACTTAGAGTATTTAATTGTTTAGCCTATGCTCACATATGGAAAGACAAAGTCGAACCTAGAGCTTTGGGTGTATGTTCCTTGGATACGCTAAAGGAGTCAAAGCTTATAGGCTGTGGTGCCTAGAGTCAGATCACATGAGGTGTATCACAAGTCGAGATATAGTTTTGAATGAATCTGAGATGGCTTTCAAGAAAACTGATAGCATTGGTAGAAGTTCAAAGATCTATGAAGAAGAGCTGGAACATGAAGAGATTCTTGTTGAGGTGAAGCATAGTGATGCTTAATTGCATGACCCAGATGAAGTCGAGGAAGAAGTTGAAGTTGTTGTCGAAGCTGAAGAGACTGATAATGAATATTAGAACAAGATTTATTCATGACATATATCCTTAGGTTTTGATGATAAAAAGTATTGAAAGAATAATGGTGTTATCTAATGTGTGTTCTAAGTATGCAGGTTCCAAAGCTTAAGGAGAACCTATTTTGAATCTAATAAGAGAACACATTTGAGAGAAGCTTAGTTTTTGGCTTCTGATGGTTCAAAATTGAAGAACATTCTTAAGTGAAGTTTGATGATATAGGTTTGCGTAGACTCTTAAGCTAAACGTATTAGCGTCAGAAAAGAAATATATTATCTCTATACTTGTTGAATGTATCAACTTCTAGTGATCATTCAGAACCATAGATAAAGCTAAGTGATATTAACTGCATAAAGTAAGCTACAATGTCAAATTAGTTTGTAAGCTAGAGTCTGTGTTTACATGGTTTAAGAATAGTTGACATGCTTTATAGATATCCACTTTCAACGGATTTATATTACAACTCACAAGGAAGACGATGTGGTTAAACGAGTTACACAATGGATAAAGATCTTTTTGTGTATCTATATTCAACGTCTCTTAGTACTATGGAGTAACAAAGACACTTGTGCAAGTTATCTCTTCTAACAACTATATTTTGTATCTGCTATTTAAGTAGCTAAAGATTCAATCTAAAGAATCAACAACAAGGAAAAAAGAAAGAGTGCCAAGAAGAAAAGGAGTGTCTCACGCTTCTATCATCATGGAAGAATAACAAGATTAACAACAACATCGAGTATGCAGAGTTTCTCTTAACTTTTATAAATTGTACAAAGTCTTAAGATTTCTCAAATAATGAATATCTTAGAAATCTTAAGAGTTATCATCTTTGTTAAGTTGTTGTCATGTACTTCTGATTCTATATCAAGTACACCTTGTTGTCTATTCTACTAAACAGATTGTTTAGTAGTTTATAAAGAAAGTGTCTTGACATGTGCTTGAGCAAATTCTCTTGTTATGAGCTTGAGCCAAGTAAGTCTTCTGCTATGTACTTGATCATTGAAGTCTTGATTATTTTGTTGATTAAGCAAGGAAGTCTTTGACTGCAGGTCTAAGCAGGAAAGTCTTGGATTCGTGGAATCTGAGCAGGAAAGTCTTGTACTCGAGGGTATGAGCAGGAAGTCTTGAATCAATGGGATTTAAGGAGGAAAGTCTTAGACTGCATGTCTGAGCAAGAAAGTATTATACTTGAGGGTATGAGCAGGAAGTCTTGAATTAGTGGGATTTAAGAAGGAAGTATTGGATTCGTGGAATCTAAGTAGACAAGTCTTAGGCTGTCAGTCTGAGCTAGGAGTCTTGTACTTGAGAGTATAAGCAGGAATTCTTATGATCTAAGGATCCAAGCAGAAAGTCTTGATCAGGTGCTGAATGAGCAGGCAAGTCTTAGGTTGTAGGTTTGAGCAAAGAAAAGTCTTATGCTTGAGGGTATAAGCAATTGTAATCATGATTTGATTATAGTGGAAAGTCTCTTGTGCTGCAAGGGGACTAAACTACTCTCAGTTTGGAAGGAACCAAGATAAATATTTTTGTGTTCATATGTCATTTACTTGCTTATGTTATTATTCTGCTACAAGTTGATATCAGAATCGGAACAATTATTTAGAATCTAAACTATGTTCTTGAACTCTGTTCAGAAGCAACGCAAATAAGAGAACACAATCCAACTCCCCTTCTTGTGTATTTTTCTCTTCAAGATAATAATACTTGAGAGCTGATTAAAAAAACCTGTTGTAGCCAAGTTAGTCAGCTGTAATTGGATTTTCAAGGTTAAGGAAGGAATCAAAAGCATGATGTCGAAGCGATTTAAGGCAAGGCTGGTTGCTAGAGGGTTCACTCAGAAAGAAGGTGTCGACTTAAATGATGTGTTCTCACCTATTATAAAGCATAAATCCATTAGAATTTTGTTAGCCAATGTGAAGACTGCCTTCCTGTATGTTGATCTAGATGAAACAATCCTGATGAGGCAACCTGAAGGGTATATAGAAAAGGGAAAGGAAGATTATGTGTGCAAGTTAAATAGGTCTTTGTGTGGCCTGAAACAATCTCCTCAACAATGGAATAGGAGATTCGATAAGTTCATGACACATATACGTTTCACTAGGAGCCAGTTCGACCACTATGCTTACTTCAGATTTCGACCTGGAAATTCACTTATTATCTTGTTACTTTATGTAGATAACATCCTCATAGCAAGCTATAGTGTCGAGATGTTATGAAGGAGAAGGTTGAACTCGATAAGAAGTTCGACATGAAGGATTTAAGAGTTGCCTCCAAAATTTTTGGGATTGACATCCGGAGAAATAGAAAGCAGTCGAGATTATGCTTATCTCAAGAGACATACCCGAAGAAGATTCTCGAGAAGTTTGGTATGTTGAATTTAAAGCCTATTCTAACATCGACTAATTCTCAGTACAAGTTGATTAAGACTCAAAGTCCTAGTACTTAAGTTGAAAGAGCCTATATGAATATCATTTCATATGCTAGTATAATAAGTTCTTTGATGTATGTTATGGTTTGCACGAGGCCATATATTGCCTACAGAGTTAGCCTTGTAAGCAGGTAAATGTCGCGCACTGACAAGCATTGAAGTGGATTCTTAGGTACATCAATGTGTCTCTGAGTAGAGTCCTGATTTATGGTGGAGCATGTGGTGATGATAGCAAAATCGAAATCGAAGGATTTGTCTACTCTGATTAT